TGCACTTCTCGCGCAGACCTGACAACGCCCTTGCTTTTGCTTCCGAAGATGCTTCGCCCGCGCCCAACAGTCTTGCAGACGTTGACCAGCAAACAACAAAATATCCTAACAACACTAAAAATGGAGTAGCGTAGTAGAGTATAATCATCGTAGTAGCAGTAAGGAATGATCAGAAGCACGAGCAGAAAGAATGATAGAAAGTAGCAGCAATCGTCGCTGCTTGGTCATTCTGGGAAATTTCGTTCTTAGGTTTCGAGGCCCTGGCCGAGGAGGATGATGCCGCAGCCCAAGACCATGTCACCATGCGCAGCTAGGCTGCTCACCTATTGCTCACCTCTGCTATGAATCATTCTGAGGACCCCGCCTACATGATGCAGACGAGTCCGCTTCACAGTTGGCTCAGCGCATTTGGTGCTCTAGACCCAGGCAGCATTGCGACGGAATTCAGGCCCCACCGCAAACGACGAGGAGATGCCTTTTGGGCAGAGCCGCGGCCAGGACGCACTTTTATGTGTTGCAATGTTCAGATGCTCTCTCTGTGCCTGCACAAACAGCCTTTACCGGGCAGCTATTCTTAGGTGATGGACAATGCGCTGGTCTTACGACAAGTCATGTGATGAACGGTGATGAGGGTCGGGTGGGCTTGGCCGTGCAGCTGCCAAGGTGTGTTGTTTCCACCGGGTCTGCAGCCACCCCCCAACACGTCCCGAGCTTCGAGCTTCCGCCGCTGCTTGCGGCCCTCGTGCACACACCCGTGGCAGTGTAGCAGACTGGGCAGATTGTGGCAGAGACATGGGGCCCTGTTGCTGTTTCAAGGCCAAGCCACGGCTCTGTGCTTCACGATCAGGGCACGTGTCGCCCATGTGCATGGCTGGTTTCTCAGTTTGCCCTGAGTTGTCTCCGAGATCCCGGCAAATAGCGAGGCAGCTGGATAAGATCAGAGAGTGCGACAGTGAGATCACGTGAGATCCCAACATTTATGTAAAGGTTCCACAAGCCGGGGGGATGCAAGAACGGCGACGGGCTTGGCAAATTAATCTCTACGGATCTGAATTATATCTCAGCTCCCTATGCCCGTTCTCGCTGTCAGGAAAAGAGTGCGGACACTGCCACCTCTGCCCAGAGGGGGAAATCAAGGCCTGGCCAATTAATGGTTGAACCACTGTCCCATCCTGTCTTGGACATTACCTTCAAGTCGCGCCCTTCAAAGTGACAGCTAGTCAGCGAGGGCGGGCCGTGTCGAGCTCTGCACCATCTTGATTCTTGCATTCTTCTCTTTAGTAGCTTTCTTTGTTCTTTTTGTATCCTTTTTCTCTGTCTCTCTTTCGTTTGATGTTGATGGCTATCTCGTTCTCTCTCGTACGCTTAGTTTCGAAGGGTTCACATGCTCCTTGGAAAGACCGGGGGCGGATTCAGCAGTCCATGGCTTGAGGCAAGAAAGCGCGCGAAGCAGACGGTGATGCGTCTGGGCCTGGCAACGACACAAGCTTAGCCTGGCCTGGAAGGCTTCCAGAACATTTTTTGAACTGGTTGCTTTCTCTTTTCCTTGAAGACAGTTGCAAGACAACCACGAGGCATTGGTGTTTCGTTTGGATGTCCAGTGCCAAGGCCGAAGGTGTCTGCTGGGTGCGAAGAAGAGGAGGAGTCTTCCGTAATGGTTTGGACCTTGGAGCACATCGCAGCGCATCACAGGTTGTCGACGCCAGAACCAGTTTGGCCGAGGCTTTTGGAATCATTTCGCCAAAGGCGCAAGTGACACGACGATCCATGAAGGCCTGGACGTTGTGAGTTCAGCTACCGGAGCAGTGTGCAGAAGCGTGCTGCTCATAGCATTCATGGATATTCCTGGCATCCTGACGCAGTTGTAGATCTTTTTGGCAGGCTACTCTGGATCCCAGCCAGAAGAAAGGAGCCTTTGTGACTCAGAAAGGGCTTCGGCACTGCCTTGCTTCTGCACTGTTCAGGAAGCCTCTCTGAAGAGGAATCCCTGACCACATGCGTCGGTTCGGAGTGGTGGGCCGAGCAACCAGGGATGTGTTGGGTTCCGCCTCCCCTGACTTCCACATCTGGCTTGTGATTGAAAGACTCATTTAGAGCCTTGTCAAGGCAAGAGATGTCAGACGGCAGCAACACCAGTCGACGCCCTGGGACCGGGTTTGTTTGATTCTTTGGCGGCTTTCTAGGACCCTTTCTCTGTTTGCACAATTTTCTCAATCCTCCTTCTGCTCGATGCTAGAGAGAGAGAGAGAGAGAGAGAGAGAGAGAGAGAGAGAGAAGAAGGCCAATATCTAACACGCAAGAACAAGAAGAACAACAGCAAGAAACTAGGATAAACAGACGAAGAAAAGTCATAATACTAAGAAGATAGAAAAAGTAAGAAGGAGAAGAATAAGAGGAAGATATGGTAACAATAAGAATAAAGATATAAGATATTCATAGAATCATAGAAGAGATAAGGAGAAGATCAAGAAGAAGATGAATACTAAAAATAGTACGAAGAAGAAGAAAAGGAAGAAGAAGAAGAATAAGATTTGTGAGAGCATGTTTTGTGGGCATGTGCGGAGGCCCGGAGTCTGCTTGGGCGACCCCTACAGACTTCCCACAAGGAGCCAAATTGGGAGCTCACTTGGTCAAGATGGGTACGGAGCGATTTGAAGAGGGCAGCTTTGGTTGCACTTTTGCCAGGACTGACTTCCACACACGACTACCCGAGCGAGGTGGCATGTAGTGCTTTTGCAAGTTGAAACAGTCCTGAAGCAGTCTGGCACAGTACCCAATTGGGACTTTGTCTCCACAACTGCCCCACGAGACAACACGACGACAGTGATTACAACATGTCAATCGAATTCTGTCACGCAGGGCTCAGCCTTGCATGGCACGGGCAACTGCCGCCCGTGTGCATGGCAAAGCCCTCAGACCCTCAGACATCTGTCCTGAAAGCTGTGCCAGCTGTGCAGCAACGGTAAAACCAGGAAATCTTCAAGTACAAGTCCGCTTCAGGTTCTGGAAAGGCTCTGGCTGCCAAAACGGTGGAACTCTTACAACTCCTGGCCGTGGTCCCGAAATGGCTTTGCGTCGGTGACTTCTCCTGTTATCCCGAGGCAAGGAATGCAAGCACTGCCACCTGTGTGATGCCGGCGAGATTCAGAGGAGGAGGAAGATGAAGCAGGCAATGATGCGTCCAAGCCTTGGAGACATCTTTCCACCCCGGGACAACACCGGGGGTCCTCAGAGTGCGCTCTTCTCGACCAAGCGAAGCGAAGCTCAGCGAGCTGAGGCATGAGTCCCAAAAGTCAGAACCAGGAGGCCTTTCGGGCTTCGGTGTTGTCAGTTTCTTTTTTTTTGGAGCACAGCACATTCTTGTGAATCTTTGAGCAAAGAGCAAAGGCACAGAACTCCCGGCATGGAGCCTAGACTCTAGAGAGGGCCTGGGGACAAGCAACACGAGAGCACAATTGCCCCAAGTTTTGTGGCTGCCTCGGGTTTTGGAATTTTGGTCTTCTCACGACAGGGCGGGGGGACTCTGTGGACATGGTAGAGCTCCTATCTTGCTGAGTAGAGCCTAACCCAGTGCCATGTTCGCAAGCCAATTATCATGATTATGAGTGATAGTTTGCCATCCATGCTTTCTGCCTGCCAAGGTTTGCTCTGAATCTGTCATCTTTGATTTAGTTCGAGAGCCAATCCACTCTTGAGAAGACTTGCTCTTGCCCACATGGAGCATACTTGTGATGAATTCCAACTCTGCAAAAGCTGATAGTGTTGCTGCTGCCTCGTTTGTCATCACCAAGAAAGATGCGCCCGCGGTCTCAAGGACCTACGGGTTTTGGGACTGCAAGCGAGACGCAAGGGTAGCAGACAAGGTGAAGGCAGTGCCTCTGGCTTCATGTGGCAATTCGTTTGAAGAATGAGTTTTGGAGCAAGGCATTCCACAAGGTTTGCAGAACAGAGAATTAGGACACCAATCTGACTACAAGGGCACGTCGAGCGCAGAGCCGTGGATGTTGGATATTTTCCCATTTTGCGAGTGCTGGAACACAGCGTCGGCATCTGCCCTGGCTACATGCTCATCTCAGAGCATTTTCCCCTGCCCACAGTAGTTCTGTATTTGCATGCCGCTTCGGGTTGCAGCCGCAGTGTTGACCCCGGAACCAAATCTGGGCCTCAAGCTTGCCCAATGAGTCCCACCTGCGATGCGAAACCTCTTCAAGCAGTTCTGTTCATTGGCTAGTTTCCGACAGTGTGGTGCTGGCTTTGGCAGGGACTTGTGCATTGTAGGTCGTAGTGCACTGCAGACTCTGCTCGGGAAGTGCACAGGCACTTTTATGCCCCGGAGGGGCGGCAGAGGACACTTGAATCATCTAGAAACTGGCATCAAGAATGCTGTCGATGCGGCCTGGAGCCTGAATGGACGGCTGCATGGGAATTGTGAGGTGCATGTCCGAGTCTCGAAGGCAACTCACTGAGTTAGGCCCTTCGGCATAAAGCAGTAGGTCCTCAGTGGGTCTGGGCATGCTTTTAGTTCATTGCAGTGTTGCCCTCTTCAGAGACTCAGGCAGCTCTGCATGTTTGTGAGATGTCGGTGGAGTAGGGAGCAAGAGATGCCATGCCGTTGGGCAGCATCGGCGTGCTGTTAGGCATGCCGATTCTTCACACCTTGATGGCTGGATCTTTGTGTGAGCCCTGATTGTGCTTGGTGAATTCCCGGATGAGACATGCCACAACTGCAATACCATCTCATCATATGCAGCCGCATCAGAAAAGGGGGAGGGCTTGCAGCGTGCCGACTTCAAGTACAAATGTAAGATGTGCAGCTGTCTGCAGAGACGGGGGATTCTCCCATCTCTGCTTGTATTGGTGTTTTGAGGCGCTACAGACCAAGCATCGCCAGTCTGCGATGTTACTTGGCTCGATCAAATGCAATCATCACCGAGCACTGACGCGCAACAAGTTGGAACATACTTAGTAAATTGCAATGATGACAGTTGAGGTCCACCGAGATGCTTGCTGAAAGGCTGCACAGGGTTCGTGGTCAGAAGAAGAACTCACCGAAGACAGAGGGGGCAGTGTCAAAACGCTCGACCTGCTTGATTGGAGGCAGGCATGCTATGGTCGTCTGGTTGCGGGAATGCAGGCGCCGGAACAAGACGTACAATGGCAACTTTGCATATTGCCATGAACCACCGCAAACAGAGGGCAATCCGATCTGTGCCTCTCAGCCTCCGATCTCTGCATCTCAGCCAGTTTGTTGGAAGTTTTGTGGCATTCGCTTGGCATGGCTATCCTTCTCGGAATTCTTGTCCAGTTAGCATGTGAAATCTTGCGATCTCTTCGTCCCGGATGGCGACCCCTGGCTGTTTCCGATGCCTGACAGGCGTTCAGAGCCTACTTTGACTCACAGCAGCATCGGGCTTAGCAGGCTGGCAAGTGGGGGAGGGGGGGGTCAGTATTGGTCCTCCATTTCAATTGTCTCATGAACATGTTGTGGCTCATCCGCTCATCAACTTCTCTCGGTACTGTAATTGTGTGAACGCAGCAACTTCTTAAGTCGGGAAGCTCCCCCATTCTGGTCTCCTTTCTCGTCTTCCTCCTTGTCTCCTTGCATCCTTTCTTGTTTTCTTCTGCGTTTCGGTGCTCTTAGCCCTTCTTGTCTCCCTTCTTCTTTCACGTTTCTTGTCTTCTTGTTTGCATTTTCTGGTCTTCGCCTTTTCTGGTTTTCATTCCGTTTTCATTGGTTCCTTTTTTGCTTTCGGGGGGGTCTGGTCCTTCTGGTCGTCCGACGGCCCTGTTAGAGTTTCTTCTTGTCTGTGTGCGCGCCCTCTCCGCCCCCTCTGACCAAAATCCACACGAGAAGAGTGGGCAGAAGAAAAAGACAAAACCCGGGGCTAGCTGTGTGCATGTGTGGTGTCCATCAATTAATTTGGTGTTGGAAGAGGGCCCGCCTTCCCGACCTCCATTGTTGTGAGGGTGACAGCGCGTGCACGTGTGGCAGTTCCGTGCTTCGGTTGGTCAATACGTACCCTCCTTGTCCTGGACAGCTTGCTGTTGCGAGTGGAAGATGAGTGGCCACAGCTTGTGACCTCATGAAGGTGCAGGGCTCTCAATTGGCACTGTGCCGCATTCTCCATTCAAGGCGCTGGGCGGACTTCATTGACCCGTCGTCCGGCGAGTGGTGCACTCTGCTTCAGTGCTTCAGAGTGACGGCAACGCGTACAACATCGGGCCTTCGTTCTTGTGACAAGCTCAGGCCTTTCCACACTGACACGTCCACCAGCTTGTTCGACTGCTCCAAGCTCAGTAGCATCAACGATGATCTATTCGAATCATGTGGTGGTTTTGCCAAGCCGCATCTCCTGGCAACTGAGGTGATGAGCGTTACAGGAGCTTGGGATTTGAGGCTGGCATGTCATTTCATGAACCTCCACGGGCGATCGCGGAAGACACCTGACCCACGCTTGCGGCCGAAGTGCAGATCCTGGAGCTGGGTTGCTGCCGATCACTGTGCAACAAGCGCTTTGGCCAGTGCGCATGGCCCAGCTCGCAGCTCCAGCTTCGCAAGCCTTGGGCAGTTCAAAAGTACGCCGAGGCTTGGTCATGACTTCTGCATTTGTGCAGGCGGGGAATGTGACTTTTTGCAAGGATGTGCTCACGATGGGTTTCGATTTCCCCGTTAGGGCACGCCTGAAGACGTGGAGCCTGCCCTGTCCCTTCTGGAGGAAAAGAGCCAGGAGAGCTGGGCTCCTGCTTTGTTTTTTTTCTCCAGGTAACAAAACATAATGCGTCAAAGCACAATCACACAGTATATTGTCATACAACAGAAGATAATGTAATATGAGGTTTCCACAAAGCACTTTACAAGATGAGGTCAGAGAATGTGTGGTGCAGATACAGGTTAAACTTATCAAACATAGTAGTTATGTACACTGTATTGAATGCTAACAAAATCAGGATATGTCTAGCATGCTTTAGATGTTCAATATATGTAATGTAACATCTGCTATATATTGAACATATCCATCAGATTCAACATATCTGTGACACTTAACATGCCGAATATCTTCAATGTATTGATTATGTTTGGTTTTTAGGCTGTTCAATTCATATTTATTGGACCTAATGTCTCCAATATTCTTAGTACATTCGATATATATATATATATATATATATGTATATATACATATACATATATATATATATATATATGGGGGGGTAGCATGCATATATATATATATATATATGTATATATGCAAAAATGTATATATGTATATATGTATGTATGTATATATGTATATATGTATATATGTATATATGTATATATGTATGTATATATGTCTATATGTATATGTGTATATATGTATATATGTATGTATGTATATATGTATATATGTATATACGTATATATGTACATATGTATATATGTATATATATATATATATACGTATATATGTATATATGTATATATGTATATATGTATATATGTATATATGTATATATGTATATATGTATATATGTATATATGTATATATGTATATATGTATATATGTATATATGTATATATGTATATATGTATTAAGTATATGCAAAATGTATGATCATGTTTACTGCGACAAAAGATGTGATCGTCACTAGTGCAGGTATGTATCACACGAAATATACTAAATGCATTACTTAGATGAAATACCTTGAATCTACGTAGTATTTTCAGTATGCTGAATGTATTAAATATATTCGACCTTTTACACACATCCAATGTTGTGATTATGCCAATCCTAGTACGTATATTAAATCTACTGCATGTATTTTGATTATGCAAAGTTTCAGGGTCCTCATGTGTGCCGGGTTTTGGCATGGATACCTACACGGTGGGACAGCAGGATTTGGCGATCGTCCTGGCGTAGACTATCCGAGCCCCACACTCTACATGGACTGATAGCAAAGAGCAGAAGTTCTGCGATAGCCAAACACCCACGAAGCTCACACCTTCCCAACCCTCAACCCGGCCTTGTTGGTTTCCGTCGAACCCTGATCCCGATGCTCGAACCCGACATCCCAAACTCTCCCTCGCTCTGTAAGGAGGCAGGAGATGCCCCAGCGGGCGGATATCCTGCGGCAGCCAAGGAGCTACGTGCAGCTTTGGAGTGGGGCTTGGGAGTCGTAATATGCGGAAAACCCGACTGCAGAGGGCGTATCTCCCACCCCATTGAGATCTGGCTGAAGTTCCCTTTAGGTTAAGGTTTAGGGTTTAGGATTACGGGGTTTGGGGTTTGCGGTTTGGGGTCTAGGGTCATTCTGTCTTTGCATCCTCTATGTGAATGAAGTTTTCGCGGGGGACGGGGCATCCGGGCCTGGGGGGCGGGGGGGTAGAGGGGGGTTGAGGATAAAAAGGGACCGAAGTTGCTGCGCTTCAGGCACAACCATGAACCTCCACACACCAGTAGCCCTGCCCGAAGGTAGGTTCCCGCACGAGGCATCCAAACAGCATAGCTGCTGCGACTAAACCACGCCCTGGTTTAAACTCCGGCGCCCTGCACCCTTAACTTTACCCGAAGAGCGTTTACACCCAAACAAACCTCCAGGCCGAACCCGTCTGTACGGCAAACTCCTCGAGCCGACACTTTCACTCCCCCTCCCCCCCCCCCCCCCAGGCGTGGGTCTTGTAGGAATTTCTGGAAGTACGTTCCCCATAACGAAACAGTCCTTGACAGGGTTTTGCGGTTGAATCTGATAAACACTAAACCCTCAAGCCCTCAACCCGAAACCCTAAACCCTAAACCCAAACCCTAAACCCTAAACCCTAAACCCTAAACCCTAAACCCTAAACCCTAAACCCTAAACCCTAAACCCTAAACCTTAAAATCAATCCTTCCATCCTACTCAGGCTTCACCTACATCCCAAACTCTCACTCGCTCTGTAAGGAGGCAGGAGATGCCCCAGCGGGCGGATATCCTGCGGCAGCCAAGGAGCTACGTGCAGCTTTGGAGTGGGGCTTGGGAGTCGTAATATGCGGAAAACCCGACTGCAGAGGGCGTATCTCCCACCCCATTGAGATCTGGCTGAAGTTCCCTTTAGGTTAAGGTTTAGGGTTTAGGATTACGGGGTTTGGGTTTTGCGGTTTGGGGTCTAGGGTCATTCTGTCTTTGCATCCTCTATGTGAATGAAGTTTTCGCGGGGGACGGGGCATCCGGGCCTGGGGGGCGGGGGGGTAGAGGGGGGTTGAGGATAAAAAGGGACCGAAGTTGCTGCGCTTTAGGCACCACCATGAACCTCCACACACCAGTAGCCCTGCCCGAAGGTAGGTTCCCGCACGAGGCATCCAAACAGCATAGCTGCTGCGACTAAACCACGCCCTGGTTTAAACTCCGGCGCCCTGCCCGAAGAGCTTTTACACCCAAACAAACCTCCAGGCCGAACCCGTCTGTACGGCAAACTCCTCGAGCCGACACTTTCACTCCCCCTCCCCCCAGGCGTGGGTCTTGTAGGAATTTCTGGAAGTACGTTCCCCATAACGAAACAGTCCCTGACAGGGTTTTGCGGTTGAATCTGATAAACACTAAACCCTCAAGCCCTCAACCCGAAACCCTAAACCCTAAACCCAAACCCTAAACCCTAAACCCTAAACCCTAAACCCTAAACCCTAAACCCTAAACCCTAAACCTTAAAATCAATCCTTCCATCCTACTCAGGCTTCACCTACATCCCAAACTCTCCCTCGCTCTGTAAGGAGGCAGGAGATGCCCCAGCGGGCGGATATCCTGCGGCAGCCAAGGAGCTACGTGCAGCTTTGGAGTGGGGCTTGGGAGTCGTAATATGCGGAAAACCCGACTGCAGAGGGCGTATCTCCCACCCCATTGAGATCTGGCTGAAGTTCCCTTTAGGTTAAGGTTTAGGGTTTAGGATTACGGGGTTTGGGTTTTGCGGTTTGGGGTCTAGGGTCATTCTGTCTTTGCATCCTCTATGTGAATGAAGTTTTCGCGGGGGACGGGGCATCCGGGCCTGGGGGGCGGGGGGGTAGAGGGGGGTTGAGGATAAAAAGGGACCGAAGTTGCTGCGCTTTAGGCACAACCATGAACCTCCACACCCCAGTAGCCCTGCCCGAAGGTAGGTTCCCGCACGAGGCATCCAAACAGCATAGCTGCTGCGACTAAACCGCGCCCTGGTTTAAACTCCGGCGCCCTGCATCCTTAACTTTACCCGAAGAGCTTTTACACCCAAACAAACCTCCAGGCCGAACCCGTCTGTACGGCAAACTCCTCGAGCCGACACTTTCACTCCCCCTCCCCCCCCCCCCAGGCGTGGGTCTTGTAGGAA